AAAAGAAACAGGATAAGAGGGTGTGGACTGGAGTCATATATACATATACAAGTCTCAGTATCATTTTGTCTGACACCATTTGTAATATGGGTTCTCTTTTCATGTCCTGAGTTATGTATGCATGGCCGAAACCAGATCTAGGTTTCCATTGGTCACTGCACTGGAGAAGGTAGATTCCTGCCCTGGCCTCTGCCTCCAACTGTAGATGCAGTGGTGGGAGTCCAAGGAGTATCTCCAGTGCAGCTGTTGGAGATGTTTCAAATGCTCCTGTGATACCTAAGGAAGCCAACCTTTTCAATTTGCTAAGTTCTTTCTTGCTTGTCTTGAGTTTGACTCTAAGCCACCATACTGTGGTGCTTAAGTAATTATGGGTCTCCCAACCGCAGTGTATATCCAATGCACAACGTGCGGCTGCAGTTCCCAAGTTTTACCAAACATGCTTCTGCATGTCCAAAAAGCCTTATAGGCTTTATTGATGTCCTTGTGCAGCTGATTTTTCCATGTCAGTCCCTTGTCTAATTCTAGACCAAGGTACTTGACATCCCTGAAGAGCTGGATTGTCTTATTGAAGAGAGTCAGTTCCTTAATGCCCTTTGTATTTCTCTTCCTAGTAAACAGTATAATTACCGTCTTATTGGGATTGATGGAAAGACTTGTTCTTTTACACCATCGCTGGACCATGTGCAGAGCTGTTTGAAGACGCTCTGATACGGTCGAAAGGAATTTTTTATGAGGATTGATGTGTCATCAGCATATCTTACTGTATAATACCCATCATCAAGTTCCCATAGCAGATCGTCGATGACCAGACCCACAGCAGAGGCGAAAGTACGCCCCCTCTGCGGAAATCCCTTAGACGCAGATGTCCCCAGTGTTTCTCCTGATAATATGGCGACTATGGTTCTACTTTCCAGCATAGCATTCATCCAACTGCATATTGCAGGCTCTACGCTATGTCTTTCATCAGCCTCTTTGATTATATCAAATGAGGTTCTACCAAAAGCTCCCTCTATGTCAAGGAATACACTAAGGCAATATCCTTGTGTTCAATCGCACTTTCTATGCATTTTATCACATTGTGTATTGTACTTTCAGTAGAGCTACCTGTTTGGTAGGCAGGCTGGTTTCGGTGTAGAGGATATGTCCTCAACACTCCGTCCCTGATATGCCTATCCGTCCAGATTGGCCCAAAGAACCGACTGTGGTTTTCCTCCCCCCGAGATCCGTTACACAATACTAGGGAGGCATAGTGCATCACGCTACAAGCAAGTCGTTTCTTACGAGCCTGTCCCTTACCCGTATAGAGTAGGGATTCACGGGTCAAAGTGGGTAGAAGAACGGTGTTCTTTACTCACAGGGTCGAGGGACGCGGCTCAAAGTGGTAGCAGAGGGTGGTTCTTTACCCACGGGGGGAGGGACACGGCTCACAACTCATAAACGGACTCCAATTAATGTACCGCACTACTAGCCGTGAAACAGAATGCCGTCAAGCGGCTCACAAGTTGATTACTTCCGTTCATTCCAAACATTATTGGCAATCAAGTACGCGGATTCATCGGCAGAATTAGTGTACCCTTCGTAGCTGGCGGTACACCGATTGCCGTAAAGCGCAGTACCGTAAACCGGGCAACAAAGTTTAAAAAGTTCAATATATGTGTATACATGTATGAATACCTAGGTAATATGGTGCTTTTGCATTTTATAAACATGCTGGAATATACAAATACTAAAACTGCACAAGCATATCTAACAACACCCGTATCAGGTTTAATCTCGGAATATGTTATTCTGGACTAAATGCGTTACCTGCAGGATCTGAAAACTACTGCTCTAGAAGGCGGTCACTTCATTTGTGTGGGTTGTTAAGCAACTAGACTGTATTGCGTCCAGTGAAATGAATTGGAAAGGGTTTGGGAGCAAGTTGACGGGTTCCAGTCGCGACAGTATCCCAGAATTTGCTTGGAGGAGCTGAGGAAACCCCAGAATTCACATTTTGCTGGAAACTTTGAATGCAGTTTGTGGCGTGGACAATATATGCATTTCTGTGGGACAACCTCAATTGAACACATTCAGCAGAAGAGCACTGGAGAAACGAAGCGTGAGAAGACACATAGAGGGATATAGGACATGGTGTTTTTGCGAGGATGCGGAAAGAACGAATTAAGTTTGGCAGTAAGACGACATTCCTTGCAGGAAATGTCAGCTGATGGTGACGATAATGAAGTGAAACAGTGGTCACTTTTACATGCTTCATCACTGCGTGCCCATGAATTTGTTAACACTGTTCGCAGGAGGAAATGTGTGAAGTGCTGCATACGGACTCGGTGACGTATGTGTGCGGGGCCTACTGGGTCTGGGATATTCCTGCACTCTTATTCCTCTGCCCATCTTGGACACCTTATGACTCGTTCTGCACTGCAACTACTCGTATGTATGCCTGTGACTGAACGTGAAGGTCATCCCGCAGTATTGAGATAAACTGAACGCCCACCATTCGAATGAGCACCAATTATTGCAACTGATAGTAACCGTCATTGAAACTTATCAGCTCTGAATGTGACTAAAAGTTAGATGGAAGGAACTATTACTGTTAAGTGGGCCCACTGTCAGCTCGCATAGAGCATATTTGCGTTGCAGGGGACAAGCCCTTCACAGATGAGCAGTAAATGTAAAAGGTGAAGTTATCCCTGGTAAAAGTAATGACACTCTACTTAACTAACCTCAGCTAATTACAACATAAAAGCAGCCGCTTTACAGCATCCATTCCTAAAACATTCCAAAGCGTCCCAAAAGAAACTCTCCAGGTCTTATAATTTCGTGAAATTTTGCACCAGACACTGGCCCCTATCTTGAGCCAGATTATTTCACTCCATATTTCCTTCAAGCATACAGAATACACAGCATCAGCCTACCTTCACACTTTTCTGAGGACAACTGCAACATGCAAATCCATTCTTGAGCTGCCCACTACTTTATATGGTGAAGACATGCAAAATGCAACACATATTTCAGGACCATGAAGCAAGATCAGTTCTGGTGATGCAGCGACAGCCAACGTGTGGTAACACAAGAGGAAAAGCTCTGCTGTTGCAAAGTTATGGTACGTCTTATGCAAAATGAAGCAAGCGTTCCTGGGCAAGAAAAGTGTCAGAAATCAGAGATCATTTGCTTAGAGTGACCAAGAATTAGCTTCAGTCATGATGCAGTTCATTCAGGCAGTGAAGAAAACTGGTATGGAGGGAGGGGCATAACTACACTGAATTTAAGTACATTGAAAGGCTATTCCTCTTGTGTCATTCCACTACATGAAACCTCCGAATTCCAATTAATAATATTAATGACACTACCTAATTTTATTAAAGAATATTTCACAATTTTCAGCTGACTCTTTCCCTCTAAGGCAAAGGAGACCTAAAGCAAAAAGGAATGCCTCATTGCCAAACCACTTTCTTTTTCTGATCTCATGAAAGACCACTCAGTTTCTCTGCTGAATTCACAGTGAAAAGATGTACGTAAGAATTTCATGATCCTTTCAATTAAATTCTCTGTACTACTTCATTTCTCCAAAAGCAGAATCAACTGCCCTTTATTAAACTTTCTTTTTTAATCAATATACAAAGTATACCGCAGAAATATATCTTGTCTGCAAAGTCCAATACAGCACAGTTTGTTTCATCTGACCAATCCATAACACTTATCGCAATGTACTCATTCCAAGAGACATATCGATCTGAAACTAAGTGATCAACGAATTTACTTACATATAATGGCAGAAGAGCATAGATAACACAGCAAAAAGCATATGATGCTGCTAAATTGTGTGTGTAAGCTGTCGACCCGTTTCAGTGACTACACTCTACTAATCATTAGCTTCCAAAGCTGAATTAACATTTAAAGGGAAGACTTCGAAATAGTGCTAAGCTTGAGCTGGCCGGAGTTTATTTAAATGCCTCCTGCTGGTGCTCGTTTAAATGCCCATTGATAGTCTGTGTTTAAAAGTCCGTTCCTGTTAGGTGCTTAATCAGTTTTGAGCGTTGTGTTTAAAAATGCTGTATATTGCTCAATTTTTATGATAAATGGATGGAATTAACTTTGTTTATATTATTATATATTATATATATATATATTGTAACGTGTTTCGTTACTGAAGACGCCGTAGAGATCGTTAACTGGTTTATTTAACAATCTACAAGTATCAGCTACAATTAATGGTAACACTGTTACGGGTTTCCACACTTTACAAACCCTACAACAAAATCTCTTAACACTGTCTTCAAGTATTAATAACGCGGGAGCTATACAAGTCTCCCTGAAATACACACTCCAGATATAACTGTACTACAGCACTCACAAAGTCTTGAAAGCACACAATAAATCTTCCGCTCGCTGACTTCTTAGTTATCGCACACTCACAGGCTGCTATGTTTCAACTGACGTCGCCGACTGCTACA